AAGATGGCTGAGCTGGGGCTGACCCAGGCGGCCGACGTTCTCTTGCGGCATGGGGCCAATCTCAACTTTGAAGGTCAGCGAGAGCCCCGGGGGTGGGCAGGCGACTTAAACGTGGCTCTGCGCCGGGTGGGCGTCCATGTCCCCAGCCTTGGCTTTTACCATCCTCTGAGGAGTGACTTCCCTCCCCTTTATTTCCTGGGTGGCTGTGACTAAGGAATCTCCCATTGGGTGGCCTCCCAAATCCTGCGGGTTTTCACATGGCTCTCCCCACCTCTGTTCCAAGGGCGGGCGAGTGTTGCTGCTTCTACCATGTGATTGATTAGCAAACTTTCCCCAGCTCCCAGAGTCATCCCCACTTCCGTTAATGCGAAAATGCAGCTACTGGCATTGTGCCCAGAGCTAAGGGAAGGTAATTTTCTGCCACTTACTCTGAGCCAATTTGTGTTTTTTTCCTCATGCCATAGGGAGAGGGGAAAACAGGCCGCATTAGGCATAAATCACCACAGAACACGCTGACTTCCAGCTCCTGAGTGCGAGGGATGGAGATGGAGCCACGCTCCTTTCTCTCTGTTTTTCACCCGGGGGAGGGCAGGGTTAGTAGGGAGACAGGCAGGGCTGCCTTGTGACCTAATGGGGGCCTGAGACAGCCAGGCACGTCTCCTTTCCCCATCCAAAGACAGGCTTGGAGGCTGCTGGGCTCCTGGAGCCCAAGGAGCTGAGACGGGAGGGCCAGTTCTGAAGCCAGTGACTTGGAGACCAGCTTGGAGAACGTGGCTGTTACCACCAGGCCTATAGAGCGGAGCAGCCATGGAGGTGCTGCGTAGTGCGGCCTCCCAGCGATTCTGAGTGCGCGCCCCATTTTATGGTCCCTTCTTACAGAAGAGGAAATTAAAGCCCCAACAGCTTCAGTAGCGTGCCCACTAGAACACCCCGAGGGCCCTCCAGTATCCGGTGAGGACAGCTCTGTCCTAACCCTTGATGGTGACAGGAGGCTGGGCCTCTGCTTCTGGACACTTTAGGTGGGAGTTTGGGGCTGGGCTCTGGGTCCAGGGGCCCCATGAGAATACGGATAAGCAGGACCAACACGAGCTGCGTCTGTGCCTTCAGATCCAGTCACCTACTACACGGCCTTGCACATCGCCGTCCTGCGGAACCAGCCGGACATGGTGGAGCTGCTGGTGCATCACGGCGCTGACATTAATCGGAGGGACCGGGTAAGTGCCAGGTCCAGCTTGTTTTGAAGCAGCGTTGGGCAGGGGCCTGAGCAGCTTCCCAAGCCAACCTGGCTGTGCTTGCTTGGCTCAGATCCACGAGAGTAGCCCCTTGGACCTGGCCAGCGAGGAGCCTGAGCGCCTGCCCTGCCTGCAGCGCCTCCTGGATCTTGGAGCTGACGTTAATGCCGCTGACAAGCATGGTGGGTGCTTCCTGCAGGAAAGCAGGACAGCTGGGCCCCCGGGCAGCGTTGGGGGGACACCCAGGGTGCCCCAGGACAACAGCTGGGTGGGCTGACTGGATGCTGGCCCTGGCTGGTGGCACAGCATGGCTGGGCACACAGGGGTTCTGCTGACTTGCTGAGCTCAGAGGCTTTAGAGAGACAGTGCAGTCATTGTCCCCGTGCTGGCCCTCAAGGGCCTTCCATAGGAAGAAATAGGGCACGTATGCACTCAGCTTCCAAGAAACAATGGCTTCTCATTGGGAGAGGCCTAGCCAACATTTCAGGTAGCATCCTGGGATCCAGAGAAATCCCACTTTTCTGCTGGGGGCCTTTCTGCTCCCAGTTCTCTGGGTGGAAAGGGAATGACCAGAAGCCCATCACCCTCAGCCCTCACCCGAGCTGAGAGCTGTCTCTGAAAGTTCATCTTCTGATCCTGAGTGTCTGGATTTCTGCCACCTCCTCTGGGTTGCCCTGACCTGGGCTTCCTGGCCTCCTGCTCCTCCTCGCTCTCCCTCCCTCCCTAGGAAAGACTGCTCTGCTCCATGCTCTGGCCAGCAGCGATGGGGTACAGATCCACAATACTGAGAACATCCGGCTCCTGCTGGAAGGAGGTGAGGCTGGCGCGCTCCTAGGCCTTGTCCTCTCACCCGCCCCTTCAATGTGTGCCACTGCTTTGCCAGGGTTGAAGACCTTCTCCCAGTGTCTCTTGTTCTATGGCTCTTCTAGGGGCAGACGTCAAGGCCACCACCAAGGATGGGGACACAGTGTTCACCTGCATCATCTTCCTACTTGGTGAGACCGTGGGAGGGGACAAAGAGGAGGCCCAGATGATCAACCGCTTCTGCTTCCAAGTCACCCGGCTGCTGCTGGCGCATGGGGCCGACCCCAGCGAGTGCCCGGCCCACGAGTCCCTCACCCACATCTGCCTCAAGAGCTTTAAACTGCATTTCCCTCTCCTGCGCTTCCTGCTGGAGTCCGGAGCTGCCTACAACTGCTCCCTGCATGGCGCGTCCTGCTGGTCTGGCTTTCACATCATCTTTGAGAGGCTCTGTTCCCACCCAGGCTGCACAGAAGACGAGAGCCATGCGGACCTTCTGCGCAAAGCCGAGACCGTCCTGGATCTCATGGTGACCAACTCTCAGAAACTCCAGCTGCCCGAAAACTTCGATATCCACCCTGTGGGCAGCCTGGCGGAAAAGATCCAGGCCCTCCACTTCTCCTTGAGGCAGCTGGAGAGCTATCCCCCGCCCCTCAAACACCTGTGCCGTGTGTCCATCCGGCTCTACCTTCAGCCGTGGCCTGTGGATGTGAAGGTCAAAGCCCTGCCTCTGCCTGACAGGCTGAAGTGGTACCTCCTTAGTGAGCACAGTGGCTCCATGGAAGATGACATCTGACGGGTCTCAGGCTACAGGAACAGGGGACATGGGCAGCTTAGGTCAGCCTGTTGGTAGAACCTGGGACAGCCTTAGAGGAGGGTCTTTTTGATCTGGGAGATGAGACGGGATCCTTCATGAGAAAAGCCAGCCAGGTAGAGCCTGAAGCTGTGATCACTCCAGTGGTGAAGGGTGTGGCTCTGTGTCTTCCAGAGAGACTGCTCCCTTCCCTCCAGCAGCACTCCAAGTCCCACCCACGTTGGACAAAGGAACAGGGCTTGGACTGAAGTCATGTTTATACCCTCTGAATTGGAGGGCAGTGCCAGGGCATTTACAGAAGCTGGGAAGGACCAAGCCTCAACATCCCCAGGGCTGCAGGGGTCTTGTTTGCTGCACGTGGCAGTATAGCTGGAGAGGAAGCCTGGGGCGCGTCCTGTGCGGTGCCGAGGCCCCACCCCTGCCCCTTTTCCTTCCAGGTTCTGTTGCAGCAGTGTTTCTGGTGGGCTCAGGAGGAGGAGACACTAAGGGCCCCACAGGCTTGTCTTCATGGTGTTGCAAGCCAAGCTGGCCCCTGCCTGTTCCTGTAGCTTTGGGGCCAGGTCAGCCATGGCCCCACCTACCAGAACTGTGCTCTGCTGGCAGCTGTGCTTGTGCCAAACCCAGGGCCTCAGCGACCATGACTTCTGCTAAAAAGCAATCATGAGTGCGCGGCTGGGGACAGACCTCTCTGTTGTCTCCTGTTGAGGGGCTCTCTTTGGAGCAACCTAAGAGCCGACTGTACCACCCAACTGTGAGCCCTCAGTCCCTTCCAGGTTGCATCGGTCATTGTGAATTGTGGAAACGCCTCTGGGGATAAGCTGAGGTGACTAAATGATATATTTATAAGATTAAACTGACTTTCTTGGCCTTAACGGTCCTTGTATAAAATTTCTGCCCCGGCCCTCCACAGTTCAGGATAGAGGCTCCCACAGCAGCTGGTAAGGAAGGGGGTGGCAGGTGTGAGGAGATGCTGTGTTTGGGGGATTGCTTCCAAGTCCCTGCAAAGAAGCACCACTCTAGACTAGCGAGGTCCTCCACAGTGTTGAGGTCCCATTTTATTATTATTTTTTTCGAGACAGTCTGTCACCCAGGTTGGAGTGCAATGGTGCAATCTCGGCTCACTGGGACTTCTGCCTCCCAGGTTCAAGCAGTTCTCCTGCCTCAGCCTCCTGAGTAGCTGGCATTACAGGTGCCTGCCACCATGCCTAACTGATTTTTGTATTTTAGTAGAGATGGGGTTTCGCCATGTTGGCCAGGCTGGTCTCAAATTCCTGACTTCAGGTGATTCACCTGCCTCGGCCTTCCAAAGTGCTGGGACTACAAAGGCATGAGCCACTGTGCCCCGGCCCCATTTTATTTTAATTTTTTGGGATGGAGTCTCACTCTGTCACCTAGGCTGCAGTGCAGTGGCACAGTGTCGGCTCACTGCAAGCTCCGCCTCCTGGGTTCACACCATTCTCCTGCCTCAGCCTCCCAAGTAGCTAGCTGGGGCTACAGGCGGCCCACCACCATGCCCGGCTTTTTTTTTTTTTTTGTATTTTTAGTAGAGACGGGGTTTCACCGTGTTAGCCAGGATGGTCTCAATCTCCTGACCTCATGATCTGCCCGCCTCAGCCTCCCACAGCGCTGGGATTACAGGCGTGAGCCACCGCGCCCGCCCCATTTTATTTTTTAATTTAATGCCTGCCAAGGAGCAGCCTCAAGCCCAGAGAAGAACAAGGCTTCAGGGAGCTTTCCTGCTGCAGGCTGTTGTCACGCTTTAAGGGTCCCAGGCTTCCACTGCCAAGCAGGACTTGGCACGTGAGCACCCCCAACCACAGCACCATCAGGCAGCACCCATGGGTTCCACCAGCCCAGCTCTGTCCCTCCCCTAGGTAAAGATCACACTGAAGTCTTCAAGTTCCCAACAACCAGGTTGGGGGTGGTTTCCTTCCTCTTCAGGCAGCCAGGCCCATGGCTGGAAGGCTAGGCTGGAGGCCCAGGGAATCGGCTACTGATGTGACCACCGCATTCCCACATGGGGAGCCCTGGAGCCCCTTCCACCCAATCCCATCTCACAGGGCAGCAGGGCCTGGGCTCCTGCCTCACCGCTGGTTCAGCAGCACCCTCCCCCGACCGGGTCCCACCTTGCCTTTTGAAGAAGAATCCGCATAATGAGTGGACGGCAGACAGCTATATTTAGTGGTGCCTCGACACTCACGAACCGCCAGCGTGGCGCCTGGATCTTGCCCAGCTGCCAGCTCCCCCCACCCGGACTGTGGTTCCTCAGTTTCTCCTGCCAGCCCTGGCTCATCTCAGGGCAAAGCTATAGACGTGGTAGATCTCATCGGGGAGGTTCTCCTGCCTCTCCTCAGCCAGGAGGCTGAGGCCTGCGCTGCAGATGATCCTGCGGACCACATCAAGGTCCCGGCACACACTGCTGTCCACGTCATCCAGAATCACGCCCTCCTGGGCCATGTTGTCTTTGATGACGATGATACCGTTGGGGCGGAGGCTGCCCTTGCAGCGCCGCAGGAACTCGGCCAGGTGCTGATCGGTGAGGTGGCCTGGGGAGGGCAGAAGCAAGGTTACCAGTGCACAATGCAAGGGAATGCTGGCCACCAGATGGCATGTATTTCTCAGCTCTGCTGAGCCCTTCATTTGTGCCCAGCATTTTGTGTGGCATTTAGTAAATCCCGACAGATTTACTAAACCCCATTTCATAGAAGAGGAAACTGTGGCTCAGAGATCTTCTACCTAAAGACACATTAAGCCAGAATTTAACTTGACGGGGTGACTTCCAAGTCCTGCCTGATACCTACACACCATGATGCCCCACCCCTGCCAGGCTTGGATCAGAGGAGTGAACCTGGGCTAAGAGTTTGGCATTGCAGGAGCCTCTGGACAGACTGCCTTCCCTACACTAGAAGTCCCCACAGAGGCTTCTGAGACCACAAAATACAAGGCCAGACCTAGCGTGTCCACAGCAGGCCTGTGCTGCCCACCTCAGGAGGTGGCCGACTGCTGCTAGTGGCCTGCCACCAGGTCAGCAGCCCAGGGCACAGCGCTTGAGGTGTACTGTTAGGCTAAGAGGGTGCAGGGCTAGACTCAAAGCTTAAACTTTTCATCTTATTAAAAATAAAACCCTTATAAAACTCTCACTTTGAATGCAGTAAGTTATTGGCTATTAAAATTTAACAAAAAACTGCACCCAAATGGATGGTAGCAGGTATTCAACTGAAACAAAACCTGGAAGAAATCTACCTTTTAGGCTGAGCCCGTCCCTCAGTTCTGGGAAGCACGGGGTGGGGGTGGGGGTGGGCGTGGGGGGATTGGAGAATCCTCACTGGCTTACTTGCTGCAGGAGCGCAAAGCCCTGGTCCTGACACCTTATGGGACACCCGAGTGGCAGGAGACGTACAGGTGGGCAGGGAAGGGCGGTGGGACCCTCACCTATCACCCACTGGATCCAGATGACGTCGTAAGAGTCCGGCTCTGGGGTGAAGTCCTGGAGCCCACAACAGAAGTAGTTCCTCACCCTCTTGCCCTCCTCCCCCAGGTAGGTCTTGGCTTGAACCAGGAAGTCCTCCGTTATGTCGACCATATCCACCTCTCTGAACAGCGGCAGGAGCAGCCGCTTGGTGATCCTCCCAATGCCAGCTCCACAGTCCAGGGCACAGGATGTTCCTGTCTTGTTCGGGCCTTCCTGAAAAGCAGAGGCATGTAACCTATCAGAGAGACCCTGTCGCCGCACGTGGGGGCCCTTCCTCATGAGCCCTGGGACTTAGACTCAAGTCAGGATTCCAGGGCTCTGCACAAGCTGAGCACTGGCGGGGAGGTCTGTGCTGGCTGCCAGCTTGTACAGAGTCCTGATTCAAGGGGATAAGCGTGGAAGGACACCCTGCTGGGCCACATATTCCTTTATCTTTGAAAGTTTTATAGAGACAGGATCTCATTCTGTTGTCCAGGCTGGAATGCAGTAGTGGGATCACGGCTCACTGTAGCCTCGGACCCCTGGGCTCAAGCCATCCTCCATCTTCCCGCCTCAGCCTCCCAAGTAGCTGGGACTATAGGCATGTGCCACCACGCCCAACTCTTTATTTTTATTTATTTTTTGTAGAGACAGGGCCTCAGTCTGTTGCCCAGGCTGATCTCAAATTCCTGGGCTCAAGCAGTCCTCCCACCTTGAAATCCCAAAGAGCTGGATAACAGGAGTGAGCCGCTGCCCCAGCCCTGGGCCACACATTTCTAAAATGAAAGCTAATTTCCACTTAAAGGTGATAACTTGAACAGGTACACTAATCTCTCCTAAGTCTCCAAGTAAACAACGGCAGAGAGGAGCAGGGAGAATGGAAGTAGGACAATGGGTGAACGAGGGTGCGGAGAGGGAACGTGGAAGGAGGGGAGGCGCTGGATGGAGCAGGTGGCCAACAGCAGCCTCCAGTGCCAGCCATGAGAGACAAGAAGGTGGGGGACTCCAGGCCCGGGGGTCCCAGCCTAGTACAGAAAAGGCTGGGGGTGGAGCAGAGGGTAGAAACCATGGCATGTAACTAGGAGTTTTCATCCAGAATGGCCAACACCCTCAGCCCAAACACCCATGGGCATGGCAGGAGAGCAAGGGTTTTGTCCCTGGCAAAACCCAACAGTTGAAGAAAAGTTTGTCCAATTCAGGCACCTCAGTTCTGCCTAACAGCCAGCTCCTGTCTGGTAACCTTGAGGCTAAGTCCACAATCTAGAAGTTACCCCACTGTGCCCACCCAGCCCAGCTCCTCAAGGCTTTGGGGTAGGTACCAAGAGACAGCCAACGACCCTGCAGTGTTACATGTAAAAGGTGGCACCCCACATGGACTCGGCAGTGCCACCAGAGCCACAGCCTCTCCTGGAGAGCACGCCAGACCTGCCTACCCTCAAAAACCTCTGCAGAAACTTCCGGGAGCTGTTGATGTCGATGCTGGAGATGTGGCCATACCCCCCAAGCATGCCGTCCACCGTGGGTGGGATTTGTTTCCAGTAGGTCTTGGCCTTGGAATAGAATTGCTTCTCGTCTTCTATCACCTCGCTCGTCATGCTGTCACCAACCACGGCTCTGCTCAAGCACCACGATCAGCACCCGCAACTCTCCTGGGTAAGGAAGGGGGTGTGAGTCAGCGGGCCAGGGACCTGGCAGAAAGGCCCCCGGGGCAGAGGGCCAGTCTCACGCCAGGCTTCGCAAGTCACACATGCTGCTGAGTGCAGAGGGAAGTCCAGGGTCCCCAAATCTGCTTCTACCCCTTGGATAACAGCATCTTCTGTCTTTTGCACTCAGAGCACCCGCCCCAAGTCCTAGCTTCACGTTCTTTTACATTTTCATTTTTTTTGGAGTGCAGTGGTGTGATCATAGCTCAATGCAGCCTCCAACTCCAGAGCTCAAGAGACCCTCCCAACTCACCCTCCGGAGCAGCTAGGACTACAGTTGTGTGCCACCATGCCTGGCTAATTATTTTTTGTAGAGATGGGGTCTCACTACATTACAAAGGTTGGTCTTGAACTTCTGACCTCAAGAGATTCTCCCACCTTGGCCTCCCAAAGTGCTGGGATTACGGGTGTGAGCCACTGTGCCTGGACTGGCTTCAAGTTCTTGACATGCTTTATATGACACCTGACGCAGTGGCTTCTGGGCACAGAAAACCCTGATCAATAAAGAGAAAAGACCTCAAAGCAGAGAACACCAGCAGACCCTGGAGGGCCAGGGAAGTTTCCACGCCTCCCTTCCTCTGGCTCAGAGCACAGCAACAACTCACGGTGGGGTCCAGTCCTCCGTTAATGAGGAGTGGGGACTCTGTGCTGTGAACCAGGCTGTGAACCAGGCAGACAGCCAGGCAGAAAACAATTCTACAGACACAACCACACCTGCAGGGAGGGCTGCAGAGGAGAAGCACCAGTGCCAGCAGAGCACGGAGAGAGGAAGTGGACTCGGATGCGGGGACCAGGGAAGGCATCCCTGAGGAGGGGACGCATAAGCTGAAACCGATGGATGGGCAAGAATAAATGCAGCCAGTGGAGGGCGACAGCTCTGCTCCCGGAGGGAAGGACAGACAGCCCTCGTGGCTGCCAGTTCCTGGTCTCACAGTCAACTCTAGCAAATTCGACTGCATCCTACAGAGCAACGAGTGTGAACCACCCTGAGGCCCAGCAGACAGTGGCCCGGGGAGACCGGTGCTTCCGAAGACTGCTGGCAGCAGTGGAGACGGCAGGGGGATGAGGAGACCGCTGCCACAGCAGAAGGAGAGGGAACTAGAGAGCCTCAGCTGGGTCCTGGCAGCAGAGCCCAGGCCCAACTTGCCCTTCAGGACAGGGATGACAGTTCAGCGGCTCCACGCTCCAAAGGCGGCCAGCCTGCCATAAGCTTCCCATAGGCACAGTGCTGTCACCAAGGCACACCACGCTTAGGGGCCGTTCTAGTTGCTGTGAGGCTTGCCAAGACCTCAGAGAGCTCTAGCCCAGGAGGACAGGCAAAGAACAAAGGGAACGAAAATACGCAGCAGAAAAATAAGATTCTCATGAAACCATAAAGTCCTGAGGAAACTCAAAGGGCAGAAGAATCCTTTCTGAACAGCAGACGGGGCAGTGGCCTGGAGGAGGCAGCCCGAGCTGGGCATCCAAAGACAGGGAGTGCTGGAGGGGTGGGGCACAGACAGAGGGAGCAGCTGTGGGACAGCACGGGCCATCAGAGGGCGGAGAGTGGAGGCGGGGAACACAGTGTGGAAGGTGAGCTGGGAAAGGCAGACGGGGCCTGGATGAGGGCGGCCCCGAGTGCATGCTGGCACCAGCTCTCAGCTGATGTGCTTCCCACGCTGCCAGGGCCTACCCTGAAGGGAGGCAGAGTGAGAATGGCAGTGGCCGTGCTGGCTGTCACAGAACAAACAGCAACAGTGGGAGGCAGGAATCCCAGCAGCAGCTGCTGCTACATCCTGATAAACCCACGATAAAGGGAAAATCTCCTCGGTGGAAAACGCGCAGCTGACTGGGAGCTGCAGCTCACCACCTCGCACGTGCCACCTCCACACAAGGAGAGCAGGGGGCTCCTAGCAAATGCCTGTCGCCAAAGTTGACAAATCGTAGGTCCAAGACCGTCTGCCTGACCCCTGGAGCTACAGGGTCAACATGGAAGAGTCCACATGTGGAACTCGGGCACAGTCCTCAAACACAACTCAAAGCTTAAAACCCTAAGACCCAGGAATGCTCTAGGGGCTTCAAGAGAAGTGGTCAGAGGGAAACAGGAAAACGCCCCGAGAAGGAGCATGAGGCCTTCGGGAAGCAACTATGAGGAAAGAGAAGGGAAACTAAACACAAGACAAGCTGGAGAATTTTCTTTTCCTCTTTGTTTTTTGAGAAAGGGTCTCAGTGTCGCCAGACTAGAGTATGGCTCAGGTGACCCTCCCATCTCGGCCTCCAGGGTAGCTGGGACTACAGGCACACACCGCCACACCTGCCTAACTTTTGTATTTTCTGTAGAGACGGAGTTTTGCCATCTTGCCCAGGCTGGTCTCAAACACCTGGCTGCAAGTGATCCACCTGCCTCGGCCTCCCAAGGTGTTGGGGTTACAGGCAGAAGTCACTGCACCCAGCCAAGATTTTTCATTGGTCAAATTTGTTATTGGCCCCCAGTACATCTTCTGCACTACTATATTCTGAACCTGTCCTGAAAGAGAAGGAACTTTCCAGAAGCAGCAGGCCCACCCCAGCCAGTCAGCTCAAGAATACTTCTAACGAGGCCGGGCGCCGTGGCTCACGCCTGTAATCCCAGCACTTTGGGAGGCCGAGGCGGGCGGATCATGAGGTCAGGAGATAGAGATCATCCTGGCTAACACAGTGAAACTCTGTTTCTACTAAAAATACAAAAAAATTAGCCGAGCACGGTGGCGCGCACCTGTAGTTCCAGCTACTCAGGAGGCTGAGGCAGGAGAATGGCCTGAACACAGGAGAAGGAGCTTGCCATGAGCCAAGATCGCGCCGCTGCACTCCAGCCTGGGCGACAGAGCGAGACTCCGTATCAAAAAAAAAAAAAAAAAAAAAAGAAGACTTCTAACGGATGCAATTCTCCTTCTGTAACTGGTCAGCCTTTTCCGGAGACCCAGCCAGCCAGTGGGGGCAACAGGGAAAGGCCTGTTGTGGCTGCTGAGAACAGAGGGGATGGGGTCCCTCCTCTCCAACCCTGTGCCTGACTCCTTCAGCAGATTTGAGCTTTCTTCACTGACAAAGTCACACGCCAGCTTTCTGAGGGTCCAGAGAGAGCTGACAAGACCCATGTGCTCTACCGGGGCCCAGTTCTTCTTAGATTCGTGATTGGGTCTTTTCACCCTTAGCAGAACCCTTTGGCTGTGCCTAAAGAGAAGCCTCCTTAAACCTCTCTTCAGATCCTTGTTTTTTTGAGATAGGGTCTTGCTATGTGGCCCAGGCTGGCCTCAAACTCCTGGGCTCAGGCCATCCTCCCTATTCAGCCTCCCAAGTAGCTGAGATTACAGGCATATGACACTGTGCCTGGCTTCCCTCTTCAGATTCTTGAATCCACTTGCAGACTGACCCCTCGCTTTACCTTTCACGCACAGGGTTTGGGCCACAATGAAGAAAGGCAGCGATCACTGCACCAATCAGGGAGCCTTTTGGGGTAACAGGCTGGGGAGGACCTTAGTTCTAATTACTGCACATAACACCCTCCCCGCAAGCTGACCACAGAGCTCCCACACTGGTCTCCCAGCACTGGGAACAACACTGCTGGAAGGAGAAAGCAGCCCATGGCTCAGAAACCCCGTCTCTATCAAAAACACACACATTCTAGTACCTCCCAGCTACTAGGGAGGCTGAGGTGGGAGGATCACTTGAGCCTGGGAGGTCAAGGCTGCAGTGAGCCATGATCCTGCCTCTGCATTCTAGTCTGGGCAACAAAGTGAGACAGTGTGTCAAAAAAAGAAGAGGAAGAATGAATTCTTGTTCCCACCAGACCTGCCAATCCTCAAGACTGCTAGATCTGCCATGGTGGCTGACGGGGAAAAGGGCCACCAACCTGAATGTCACCATGTAGCTGGGTTTGGTGGCTGCTATGGTCTGACGGGGTAAGGACCAGGTCAGGTGGGCTGCCTGCCCCTCTGCCAGCAGGCACCAGAGCAACCATGTCACAGCCCTCCATCAGTCACTCAGAGGACGGCATTCAAAACTACAGCTGGGTGCAGTGGCTCATGCCTATAATCTGAGCACTTTGGGAGGCTGAGGTGGGACGACTGCTTGAGCACAGGAGTCTTGAGTCCAGCCTGGACAAGAGCGAGACCCTGTCTCAAAAAATAAAAAACACTTGGTGGCTGGGAAAATTAAAGACAAAGGTTAAAAAACGAAATACTACTCTTCCACACCATGCTAGCACAACTCCCATTCAGACTGGAGCACGGCGAGAGCAAGCCTGTCTCCCTCTCACCACCCACCAGTCTTGGCAAACTGAAGGTTTTGTATCCAGTTCTATCTCTCACCTGGCCTGGGAGCTCCTAGAGAGCAATGGCAACATTTGAGATTTATCACTATGCTTCTCTTGCATCCCACGAAACACAGATATTCAACAGAAAGTTCATCTCTGATCAAATGAACAGAATAAATCTGAGGGCAAACGCGTACCGATTAGACCAGTGCCTGACACCAGGTGGCCATTGACTAATTGGTTGCCAAATAATACAAGAATGGGCTTTGTGCAGCTATAGCCATTTTCCACTTCTAAGAAAATCCTACAGACAAAAGTCCGACCATTCAAAACGGGTAATACTGAAGGCTGTTACCGACAACATAATTTTGTGCTTTACCAAAAGCCTTGTAACATGATTCCTTTAAATGTCAGGGTCCCCTGAATAATCTAATTTACAAGAATTCCACCTACACGCAAATTCTAGGAAAAAGCCAGGGGAGGCACATACTGGCCGGGAAATAGCGAGCCTGACTTTGACATTTGTCCTAACAGCTGATTCATTAATAAATGGGATTCCTAGGGTCCTGGCTACATTCTGTTCAGATTGGAGTGGGGCAGGAGGAGGTCCCTAAGAGTCCGAGGGAACAGCAAGGTCGGTCGGCCAACAGCAGGAGGTCCTGCTACACTCTGCTCC